CTGTGATTTTTGAGTGGAGCGACTGCGTGCGGGGGCGGGGTGCGTGAGAGAGCGAGCACGGGGCTGCAGGGTGTCGGCGCGGGGTTGGGGTGTGAGGTGTGCGTATATTACCATCTATACGACCATCATTGTTTACGCGGATTTTCTTTCGAGTGTGTAGAAAACGTGCACCTGCTGTGCCACGTGGGTGATTAAGGTGGGGGTCGGGGTGCTCTAAATCCACTCCCTGTCGTTTGCGCGTAGATTACCATCTCTACGACCACTATGGTTTGCGAGTGATTTGAGCATGCGCATGAGGCGTGTGTACTGCAGCACACAGAGCCGCCGTCGTTTGCGCGTGCTTAAGCTCGTGTGCTTGATTGCACAGCGCGGTTTACGCAGTGCGTTTACACAGTAGAAATAGCCTTAACGGCGAGACATGCACCCAGGGTCCTGCCGCAGGTCATCTCCTTTTTCGTGTAGCATTGCGGGTACGCTTAGTTTAGTTTTCTAATTAGGGCTTAACCATCAGGAGGGGCACGTGCATATTCATACTGATATTTTTAGCGCAAGCCTTTGTATGCAACGAGCGCCTTCAGGGGCGTGCACATGCACGCCCCTGAAGGCCACCTCTGCATTAGTGGTGGTGTACGTGGGAGTGTGTGGGATAACTCCGGGCGGTGGTGAGCCAGCCACTTAGCCATGTCCCTCAGAGAGGGCGCTGGCACGGGGGGGCCGATCACCTGATCGGCGGGGGCCCGGCAAGAGGCAGCCGACGAGGAGGAGGGGGAAGTGGAGGGGGTGGACGTCGTGCCTCGCCCGCTCACGGGGAGCGGGGAGGTGGACATCGGCACCCACACAACCACGCGGAGACGAGGAATGGTTCTCGGGCTGCTTGCCGTTTATTTACACAAACCGCATCCTACATTCACACCAGTTGTAGGTGCACACTACCTCGGTCCTTCACACGGACACCCCGTGAACAATACAAATACCTGCTACGGCTACCCCTATCTCTACTCACTCGTCTGCCCCGAGCGGAGGATCAGCCAACACTGTCCGGCGACGAGGTGAGATGTCTTCACAGCCGGTCCTCACCCTTGCCCCAACAACGACCGCGCGCATAGGCAACCGGGTCCCTTTAAACCTCCTGCATGGCTCCTTCCTCCGGCTAGGCTCCACCCACTTTCGGAAAGTGCTTTCGGCTCCACCCACTTTCGGAAAGTGCTTTCTGAAAGTTACTTACGTCTCCTCTCAAGGTTTCATCATCCATGCCCTTATGTAACCTCTCAACCAACCCGCACTTCCTTACGCTCGCCCCTCATTGGCTACTTGCGGTACTCCTCTAAACAAGTAAAACATTTCTGAATCGAGCAATAAGTTAGACACAAATATGAAACAATACATATTCAATATTATCTGAATTGTATCTAGATTTATACAGCACCTTAGTCCAAGGTGCTTTACTTTCGTTATAAAAGTGTACCTTCAATGATAGTGGTGAAAATAAAGAGTGGGTTATTAAAAGTGGTGGTGTAGCTATTATACTATTTGGTTCTTTCGTGAACACAAGGCAGATCTGAAACACGGTAGGACCAATACCTCTGCCATTGCTGATCATTGTTTTAATGCAGTGGGCTCACACGAAATTGACTTTTCCAAGACGAAGGTACTCTGCAAACCCACCGGCAATTATCAGAGATTTGTTCATGAAGCCATCCAGATATGTAAACACAGACACACCTTCAACCGAGAAGATGGGTACAAACTGAGCAATCATTGGAAGGACGTTATTAACCAGGTAAAGTCTTAACTGACTGTGATGTTTCCATCCTACCTGCCTATTTCAGCTGTTATTTCCGACTCTCTGTGTCTTTCTCTCTCTCTCTATGCATCTCTCTCCGATTTCTACTCCAGTGACCCGGGTGCTGCCGCGGGGTCCACTTTCTGGCCCTCGTCCCCCCCCCCCCCTTCTCTCTCCCCCCCTGCAGCTGATCTCTCCAGTGCTGCTGCGGTGGTCCATTTTACTCCAGTGACCCGGGGCTGCTGCAGGGTCCACTTTCTGTCCTGCCTCCCCCCCACACTTCTCTCTCCCCCCCTACAGCCGAGGTCTACATAACCTCGTGCCACGGCAGATCTCTCGCCTACTTCAGCAGTTTTTTCTTGCTGTGGTTGTCCCACCTGATGACGATTGCTTGTGTTGCGATCGAAAGTCGTGATCTATTATTTTTCTACCTACGTGGCTTCACCGAAAAAAAGCAAAGAGTATGGATTCCTGCAGTTACGAAAGCTTTAAATCAAGAGTGTAGCTATAGTCAGTAAGGAGAACAGGTAGAAGTGGTTTAGGAGGGGTTAGGGTAGTGATACGGTCTGGGGTAGGTCTGGTCGTAGCTGAGGGCAGGGAGTAGTGGTAGGATAGGCAACGAAGAAGAGATGGGAGTTGTTTTAAGGGAAGAACAGAAGCAGGTTATAGTGAAGATGATTGTTTAATGCACAGTGGGAGTTTGTTCCAATGAAGGGGTGCAAGAAGGGAAAAGAAACAAAATCGAGAATGGTTGGGATCTTAGAGGATGCGATGGGACATAGTAAGATAAAGTGAACTGTTTTAAAGACAGCAATAGTAGACTTGGAGCCAGTGAAGATGGGAAAGTTGAGCAGAAGTGTGGGAATTGTGGGGAAGGTTAAACATGATCAGAGCCTATATTATGACAATAATCATTAAGACGATAGCGGTGGAGGATGGTCCAGTGGCTTTTGCACTGCGCTATAAACCTGATGACAAGTTTGATTCTGGGCCATGGCTAACCCCAGAGGCCAGTGATATCTGATCCATTCCTGCGTGCTTACTGCTTCGCAAATGCTCACTGGACAGGGGGTGAAGTAGGGTTAAACAACCCCCACGGCTGATACAGAACTGGAAATCCCTCATCCTGCAGTCAATTGACATAATTATTATTCTTTCATCAATGTTTAAACCTATTATTTTATTTCAACTTGTAATGCGCACGGCATTCACTATGGCTCAGAGGCACAAGGAACTGCTGAAAAGCAGGAAGGCAGCCAAGCACTGAGCCTATACAAACAATTGCCCAAGCTATGAGGTCCTCTATATATTAAAGTGTTTTCAGCCTAATTAATGAGTATTTGCATATGTGGGAGGAAAATGAAACACCCGAAGAAAACCCATGCATGCGAGGAGGCAACATTGTATCCAATACAGATAGTACAGACTGAGTCCACATTTTGCTGTACAGCATTTCCTTGCCCACCACGGACGTGCCATCTACGGAATTCATGTATACACGGTTGATTACTTGTATACCAATGTACCAAACGTGGCCTGGAAATTTGAGTATCCACGGGTAAGCGCGGGTCCGCAACACGGATTTACATATTTTGCAGTGCCGTGTTTCTCCTCCGTGGCCATAGCGCCACCTGTGGCGCTGTGTAGCTTATCAGAAGTCTGTTAAGGGATACCTGTACTGCCTTCCTCTGGCGAGCGCAATAAAAGAGAATTTCACAACATCTGTGTGGGTTGCATCAACCCTCGCTGCCACCAAAGTGCCGAAATACAGATATCCACCACCCAGCTAATTAAGAGTTACACAGAACTTCACGTACAATGAGTAAACTATTGATATAAGTGATACATTTAGATCCAGCAAGTCTATCATGAGTCATTTATTATCAAGTTACTCTGTACTGTATTTTACATGACATAAAATCTACAATTCGTGATGGCCTGTAGTCAAGAATAACATCAGAGCTGCAGCCACGGAATGGAGGACGCTAACCGAGGAGATGGAACGATAAAATCAACTCGTGTGCAGTGGGTGCTGGGTGGATTATTACATGACAGGAATCGTGAGTAGTGGCAGCAGCTTTGCAAGGCTTTCATCCAGCAGCAGATTGACCCCGGCTAACGACGATGATAATGATGCCGGTCAAGAGTGGCAGCCGCCTCGGTAGCTCGTTGTCATCACCACGGCAACTCGTGAAACAACTCCCCTATTTGTCACCGTCTGTGCCCTCTACATGGAGAGCACATTGCCGGTGCTGGCAGACGGCATCAGTGCTATGGCTGGGGGGCCTGCCAGATCGACACCAGCGCAGGGTGGCAGCGGTGCTCGCAAAACAAACGACCAGCACGAGTGTCACGGCCACAAACGCTAATAGCGGCTTCCGCTGCAGAAGAAACTCGCACGGCACACAGGAGGAGGAGGAATTAGTTGACGCTACAATGAGGCCTTCACAGGGGAGGGTTGACACGGCGGCATCACTGGCGCCACCGGGGAATCCTCGTTGGCGGACGATGGAAGCGAGCGCCTTGGCCGACTGCTTGGCCTCGCTGCCGCTCTGTGCCGAGCTGAAGAAGCCGACCTCGGGCAGAAAGCGGTCGCGGAAGGCCCACGCGAAGTATGCAGTCACGTTCACGCCGTCCAGATCTCGGGCTGTACGAGAGACAGATGGGTTCGGGCTAGTGAACAAGAGCAGTCTCTTCATACTGAAGACTCCCCCCTTCCCCTCATAGACCACATCTGGCCCGACTGGTTTTAAATGGAAATGGGCTAAATACAAGTGCAATTACGGAAGTCATGCCCGGTGGTCGTCTGCCGACAAGCGGACGTCCTGATCGACCTCATACCCCGACCCGTTGTGCTGCTTGTGCCACACCAGCCTTGCCGTGAAGTGGCTGAGTGCCAGAAAATCGTCGGTGCCCTGCACAAACCCGGCCTCCTGCTTCGTGAAACTTGGTAAAAATTGTCAACTAACCCCAATCTCATGCAACTAAAATGAAAGATAATGGAGCAGCCCTGTAATTTCTCACTCTAGATCTGGGTCATGAGAGCCCCTCTAGATAATTTTTTGCTTTACAAATGTCTTGTAAGAATTTGGGATACCTACACTTTACCCCACCATAAACGACCCACCGATCAACCAACTTAATGTAAATGGCGACCAGTTTTACAATGTCGTGTGTAATTTACGTATCGATTACAAATGTAATGCAATTACACATTCAAATTACATGCAATGTAGATTCTGCCCATCTCAAAAAAGGCTTTGGGGATCGGCCAGCGAAGCTATGGCTGCCCTGAGATGGAATGAGAAAAGATGAGCAAGATGCAGAGATAAAGCTCAAAGGAGGATAACATAGATGTGGACAAGCTAGAGATAAGAAGCAATAAAGACATTATATGTCAGCCTACGTAAGTGTGCATTATCCGTGTTTTTGTTTTATATAAGCCTTGCCCATGCTGTTACCCCAGATAGTCGAGCGTCCACTGCGCCATCGTGTCACCCACACCTCACCTTTCAACACCTCGTTGATGTAGCTCTGGTGGTAGTAGGTCCGTGCATCGTCGTGCAGTGCAGCTCTGTCCACCAACCCGTTGGCCATCATGTAGATGGGCAGCGACTGCCCGTACCTTCTCGCAATCCAGCGGAGGGCCTTCCTGATGCCTTGTGGAAAGATCGCTGCCCCAGAGGGCGACCGTGGCCAGGTGGTGTCCACCGATGAGCGGACTTCCTGATCAGCCTCGTACCCCGTCCCATTGCGCTGCTCGTGCCGCACCAGTCTCGCCGTGAAGTGGCTGACCGCCAGAAAATCGCCCGTGCCCCGCACGAGACCGGCCTCCTGCTCCGTGAAACTCGGCAGGCGCGTCGCTTCGCCGCCACTGTCGTGGCCCCCTCGCCGCCTCAGCCGTTCCTCCAGCCAGGCCCTCATCTCCGTGGGGTAGAGTCCCGTGCGGAAAATTGGGTCAGCGAACCAGGCGGTCTGGAAGACGAGGGCACGCTCCGCGGCTGCGGTATCGGCCGCCGCATACGGGTTCGCCGGCTCGGCCCAGTCTGCCCGCAGTGCGATGGACACGCGACCCCCGTACCTGCCGCGGAACTCACTGTCATAGATGTGCCAGGCAGCTGCATGGGCCCGCAGCAGGTTGTGGGCCGCGGCGTAAGCCATCCCATCGTGGCCCCGGAGCCCATCGAGCAGCCGTACATTGCCCGGCTCATTGACCGTGATCCAAGTCTTCACATGGGCCCCGAGATGCGCGAAGCAGTGGCGGGAATAGGCGGCGAACGCCGGTGCCGTCGATGCGTTGAGCCAGCCGCCGTGCCGCGCAATCACGGCCGGCAGGCCTGAGTGGTGGTGGGTCGGGTGGTATAGCACGGCGACCACGGCGATGCCCGCTCGGTGCAGCTCCTTGGCATAGCACCTGCGTGACCCGAACCGAACACAGCGTCAAAGGCGAGAGAGGGTTTGAGGTTCGGAAAGCATTGCATAAAAAGAAATTGTTGAAAACACACACTACACAGAAATCCTCTCTCATCAAGACGCTCATACATCGGGCTAAGAAAGTGTCAGATGGGGATAGTCTGAGAAGTGAAATTAAACATTTTAAAGAAGCGCTGCAATTGAACGGTTACAATGATGCACAAATCAACAGCGCACTGAATGCCAAAACCAAATCAAATAACACGAGCGTTGTAACTGACCAAGTAATTAAAACTATTAAAATACTGTAGATTGCGGGAGTAAATGATAAACTAGCCAGATGTTTGGAAAAACAAAACATCCAAGTCAGATTTGGCATGGTACATAAAATACAGAAATTAATATCTGGTACAAAAGATGTATTACCGAAGCTATCAACAGAAGGTGTGTACCGGATTAATTGCTCTTGTGGCATATGCTATGTTGGGCAGACAGGACGATTGATCAGCACGAGACTAAAATAACACCAAAGGAATATGAAATACTCCAAAACACAACTATCTGCAGTGGCAGAATACGCGTGCCAACAAAGATACTCAATTGATTTTGATGTTGAAGTTCTGTGCAAACTAGTTACTACTGGCCAACACTAATAAGAGAACCTATCGAAATTGAGATAAAAAAATAATTTAACCTTTCGGATATCTACAGACTTAGTGCTGCTTGGAAGTGAATCATCAAATAATGCATTGTTTAAATGCATGCCTATACAGGTCACCATACTTCAATGGGGATTACCTGTAAACAGACAATAACAGGTACTGCTATTTTAGTGCACACAAACGACAGGTGGTACAAGAAGAATGGGCTTTCATTATGTGCATGTATAATGCACATTGATTACCATATAAATAACCCAACCGGTAATGGATACCAATTGTAATGTATATGCATTTGTAGTGAGTTCCCACGGAGACCGGAGACGTAGCTTAGAGGCAACATGGTTTATTGAAATATTGTAACACAAGGCCCCTTTACTCCCGCTACTTGGGGAGGTATGGCCTCTGGGCTGACGTGCCCTATCGCTGAGACTACGGGCTCTGAGTCCTCCGGCTAAGGGTGACCTAGGGATGGCTATGCTGACCCGACCCAGCCAAAGTGCGGGTCTCGACCACTGGCCCGCGTTCGGCCCCGGCCCTTAAAAGGTCTTCAGTCTTTGTCTTCAGAGCACTGCCTCGAGTCGTCCTGAGGTCCGTCTTTTATACCCACCTCGGGAACTCTCCACCCCCGGTACTGCCCCCTTTCTGGAACCTTCCAGGGGGTTCTGGTATAACCCCCCCCCAACCCTTCACCTGGGGTCGGGGGGGGGGGGGAACTCGGCCTCTCAACGGCCTGGCTCTCTCTCTCTGTCTCAGGGTGGCACCCCCTACAGACCCCTGCCCGCAACTACAGGTAAGTATACATAGGGCGGCGTGTGCTATGTATTTCCGACGCTACATCACCCCCCCCCCACCCCCCCTCTCGTAGCACACAGCCGTCTCGGCTGTCAAATAACAATAAAGACCCACGAGAACGAAAAACGAGTACTTGTGCCTCAATAAAAAACATCAACAACAACTAGAAAACAAACACCCCCACATAAATAACCCAACCCGCCTGTATAAATATACACTATACACAGCAAAATACACCACCAGCGAGTCGATGGCCTCTTGATTTCACATTAACAGGTTTAATTTCTCACGCCAACATGGCCACCTATGGATGCCGACCTCTACGTTGTGGTGGCTCTGCGATCTTACATTAACACGCTAATCTCTCACATTAACATAGCCACCCGCGCACTCGTTGCGGACACCGCTCTCCGATCTTACATTAACATGCTAATTTCTCACATAAAATCACTAGCCCCGCCCACTTAATGACCCTAGGACTACACCCTATAAAACAGTCTGCATTCAGCAGCTTTCCTCCTCTTTCCTCCTGATGACGATCGCTTGTGTTGTGATCGAAACGTCGTAGTTTTTTTGTTATTTTCATTTAACCATCTACGTTATTTTACCGAAAGGCCCAAAGAATATGAATTCCTGCAGCCACGAAATCTTTAAGTCAATATTCAGCCAATTAAACTCGCAGAAGAACCGGAATAGTTGCAATACCTGTAGTACTCAAGGGCAGACGAGTTGGTGGCACCTTCGCCCGTGGCGATGAGACTCCAGTTGAACGAGAAACGGTAGGCATTGACCTGGAGTTTCTTGAGCAGGGAGATCCGTTCCCTGATACCGGGGTAGTCTGGGCAGTCGGAGCGGCGGCGCGTGGCCGTGAGTGCGGCAATGCGCTGCAGTTTGCCGTCGCCCCCGCGGTTCCATCTGTACACGGCGCCGTCGCTGAACTGCGGCGACACCGGCGGCGTCTCGACCTGAGAGCACGGGCAGACGGGGTGTGCGCACACATGTGGAGGCAACAAGACGGAGACACTGACGGATACAGAGAGATGACCAGATGTGGACATGGACGTAAAGGAACATTGGTTTATATAGCGACCATGTCTTGCGATGCTCCATATACACGTTGGGCACGTTTATTTCATAGAGGGACAGAGGCAGTCTTTCATTGGCCGAGGAAAAAAGGCAGGGGTTGAGTCTGGACTTGAAAAGGACAGGGAGTCGACAACACGGATGGCAGGAGGGAAGGGATTTCCACATTATGTGGACAGCAGAGGAGAATTAGCAACCTCCCAATGAGCACAGGGTCACTGGGGCCTTTGACATAAATGATCATTTGCTGGAGCAGAGAGTGCAGAGTGGAGTAGAGGTTAGAGGAGAGGTAGGAGAGTGCATGGAGGGGAGTTGAGTAACATGAGAGGGGAGAGGTAGACAGTGGTGAGTCCATGGGGGACCTTGAGAAACATTGCCTATAATTTTTACATTGTTGAAGTATAAACAGAACTATGAACTTTTCTTTATCCTACCAGGTAAGGCTCACTGAACTATATAGCTCTTTTTCAGAAGCGACCTGGCTACAAATGATATCTCAACGAAGTGGCTTATGTGGAAATTTATAGCAGTCAAATACTCTAAATGCATGTTGATTCTAAATGTGGAGGGATCAAGAGAAAAATCCACGCGACCACAGGGAGAACATGCAAACTGCAAATTCCAGGCGTCAGGTTCGTGATCGAATACATGACCTCCTGTATATCATGCGAGGTACTTAACATCTCCCCACAGTGGTGCCTCAGTGGCGAGATGTATGGTAAAATTACCCCCATAACCCACACCGAGTGGGGCAGCACTCGTTCAGCCAAGGATTGATAAAAGGGCTGTTATTGAATGTGGGAAATTAAAGCATTAAGGTGGCGCATGGCTGTAATCTAGCACTGTGGAGGCAGCGAGGATTGGTGTATCACACAATTCTTGTGAAAATCCCTTCTCATGAGCGTTAAGATGGTGCTGTACACTGGCTCTCCAGGAAAAGGCAGTACAGCAAACATGTGGACTCCAGCTGTTCCATCTGTACAGGATAGAGTGTTTCCCTCCTTGCACGCGTGGGTTTTCTCTGGCTCCTCCGATTTCCTCTCACATTAGATTGGGCATTTAACAGTGCCGACACCGCGTGGCTGCTGCCTTCCCGCTCATCTGTCGTTCCTCCTCTTGCCACCTGAATCATTCTCTCTCCTCTACGAGAAGGAGCAAACACCGCGCGGTGGTGGAATTGCAGAGATAAAAGTTGACTTTATTATTAATAAAAGTGTCACCTGCACCTCCCCCTCATTTACCTCCGAGACGCACGCTGGTTTCTGCAATGGCTAGGATTGTGTCGCGAATTTACAAATGCGGATCGCCGCTCGCCGCGGCCATCCCAGCGAATACCTGCACAACGCCGTCACTGACTCCCCACAGGAAGTCGCAGGGGAACGTGCCTGTGGCGAAGGCCCTCTCCTCAGACGCCGGCAGGCCATTGCTGGCCACGGCCTGCTGGTAGAAGTGCGCGGAACTCTTGGGCCACCGCCGCTTATCCTCGCTGGAGAAGTCGACGTGGAACAGGCCCCTGCGAATGGAGAAGCCGGAGCGCCACTCGAAGCCGTCGACGAGCGACCAGGCCGTGTAGCCGACCAGCCTCACGCCGTCCCAGTGCATGGCTGCGCGACAACAAAGTGCACGCAGTCATGCGCACAGCGCCAGCACGTGTGTCCATTCACTGCTGGATGAGGGCATCCTCGTGTCGTGTATATATATATGCATGTATGTTGAACTTCTTTCGCACCGCACGTAGCCAACCGTGCTAATCGGAAGTGCGGGGGAAGGACAGCATGTCAACACATGCAACTGGATCGCAATTCATGACATTCATGACACCGAGCGAAGAGGCTCAATGAAAACACAGTTCATACAGAAATTCTAGAACTCCACAGGATTAATGTTAATGACAAGAGTCAGCAAAGCCCTAGTTGCATCGAAAAACTTTTTTCAGGAGTGTCCTGCCAAGTTTTCGCAGTACAGGGCGATGTCGCTGCTGCTGTGTGCAATCCCAATTGAGCAATTTTCAGGTAACTCATCTTCTTTGGTTCTTTCGGTAAAGACACGTAGAATGAGAATAAAATAATAAAATAAGACAATAAAATTCTCACGACGTTTCGGCCACAACACAAGTAGCCCTCTTCAGGTGAAGTAACAAAACTGTCGGGATGACAGAGCTCCAATGAACGCCGCTAAGATTCGCAGCGTCCTTTAAGCTGGTTGAGAGAAGGCACCTTGACAAAGGGGTTTACATATCAAACAGGAGAATTTAGCATTGAAATAGCTGAGGGATTAGCTTGTGACTGGTCACAGAAATAGCTGTGTTAAAGTCAAAGCCTACACATCCACAGAGGCATCTAGTACATATCAAACAGGAAAAATTTAGCATTGACATAGCTGAGGGATTAGCTTGTGACTGGTCACAGAAATAGCTATGTTAAAGTCAAAGCCTACACATCCACAGAGGCACCTAGTACATATCAAACAGGATAATTTAGTATTGAAATAGCTGAGGGATTAGCTTGTGACTGGTCACAGAAATAGCCATGTTAAAGTCAAAGCCTACACATCCACAGAGGCACCTTGTACATGGACGCCAAATGGGGCTGTAACAACTCAACTATCATACAGTAAACCGATGTGAGAAAAAACCTAAGTCTGAATTACATCAATATAATAAATGTACTCAATATATTCTTCAAAAAGCTGAGCTATTAACAGCAACTGGTTATACACTACACTATATAATGAATACCATATAATAAACCAATAAAAACCAAATATAAACTACCTCAATGTTATCAATAAACTCTATATATTCTCCAATCTGCTGAGCTACCAACAATAAGTCGTTATATATCACAATGCTATGTGGCGAAAAAATGGGTGGATTCTTACCCTCAACGTCAGCACCACGGACAGCTACGAGCCCCGTTCAGACGGACGAGTCCATCCATGGTCGGAACGGAGGAGGGGGGAGAGAAACAGCTGCGAGGCGCTGTTCTACTCCATGTTATAAACCATACCATTAACCGTGGTGTGAGAGGTATTAAGAGTCAATGACAGCAAAAGAGTTGCGGTCTGAAGGTCACCGTAAAATACAATTAATTAAGAACCGAAATGGTTTAAAACATCTTTCCAATGGTTACTAAGCCAGAATCCATCTTCTCGGTTGAAATTTTCTCTGTGCTTGTATATGGGGATGGCCTCATGAACGAATCTCTCATGGTAGCCGGTTGGTTTGCAAAGAACCTCCGTCTTGGAGAAGTCAATGTCATGTGAGCCCACTGAATTATAACAGTGATCTGCCACGGTAGAGGAGTTCATCCTACCGTGTTTCAAGTCTGCTGTATGTTCGCGAATGCGGTCCGAGGTAAATTTTAAGCATTGGATTGTTTGGACGATACCGGTACAGTAACTACATAAGTTGTTTCCCTGCAAAGTCGCCACTGAATCACTACCCATGTATGCATTTAACGTCGCATGGTATCGCTCTAAATTCACTGCCAGTGGGAAACTACTTTCCATGGCGGATAGCGAGGCCACTGCGTGCCACATACATTGTTATACAACACACCTTACCGGCCCAGTGTATCTCTACACGGTCACACTGTCCTCGCTCTCTTGAGCTGCACAGCTGAGCGGTATGATACAGAATGCGGAGTGATACAAAACACGGAGTGACACAGTACGCGGCGGCATACCCTCAACTCAGTTGATTGTGGGCTGTTTTTGTTTTGATCTGTTGAGGTCATTTATCACTGCTTCCCTTAACAATCAAGTAGTGATCTTAACTGCTTCAAGTGTCATGATGTGTGGAAAGGTGATCACATTGGAAACCAAATTTGAATCATTATGCCGTTTTGCAGCAGGAGATATGAAGCACCTATTATAATGAGTGTGATTTGAAGATCAAAATCAGTGCCACATTCCTCTCAGTTTACTGGTGATCCAGGCAAAGGCACGAAGTTTGTTTGAGGACTTAAAGGCTGAGGGTGGTGAATCAGGGTTCCAATGCAGCTATCAAAGCTGCTGTACCTTCAACAAGGTATGGACATTTTTACGTACGTAAGTTTAAATTCTTTCGCATCGTACGTAGCCAACCGTGATCATCGGAGGTGCAGGGGAAGGACAACAAACTAAACACAAAAAGCAGTTCTAAAAACTGAGTTTCAAATCTAGATTTAAAAGTGCATAGCTCCAGTGGTTTCCAAATATTGGAAGGAAGAGCTTTCCAGATGGCCACAGAAGCGCATTTGAAAGCGCCGCGCGATGCGGTGACTATCTTTGTTCGATGGTTAGCAAAAAGCTGCTGTAAGGATGTCCAGAGTTTGTGTGATAGTTTATGCTCCTTGACAATATTAGCAAGGTATTATTGTGGTTCATGTTGTAGTGAGTCCAACTGAGTCGCAGACGTTGTCTTGGGAGAAACACTATTTCTCAACTCAACACAACATGCAAGCAGGGAGGGCAGTGCTCAAGTGTGCAGGAAAGCAACTCATACTTTGCAGTGATACAAGTAACTCGACCTAGAAATGAAGATGAAAGCTGTGCAACAGTAATTGGAAGTGTCCCTGTGGCACCAACACCTCACTCCACCTCGAGCAAGCTCCACAGCCATCACTGGTGAGTGTTAACCTAACCTAACATTGTACATGCTTATAGCTACAGTTAATCACCTGTGCTATTATTCGTTTTTTAATTGTTAAATATGTACTTTCAAAAAAGTTAATTATAATCTTAAGTATTATAGTAAAATTCCCAGGGACATAACCTTCCATATTTACATTGTTTCTTATTGGGAAATTGTGTTTGTTAAGGGTCCGTCCATAAATGACGTCACGCGATTTTGGACAATTTTTGACCCCCTCCTCCCCTTAGTCACACGACGTCACAAAAAGTCAGACCCCCCCTCAAATATGACGTCACAAAGCTCTGCCCCCCCCCCCCCCAAAAAAAAAGTAAAACATGCTTCAAATCGCTTTAAACTATTGTCATTGTTGTGCGTATTTAATGTGGCGCTGCACTCTGATGTTGTAGGAGAAAACATTTATTTAAAACGATATTTAATTAAGTAGAACGTGTTGTGTCTATATTTATTTAAAGTTGCTCATTTTGATGCGACGTCACATTTCTCAACCCCCCCTCGTCACACATCGTCACAAATGTCTGACCCCACCCCCCCCAGGTGTGTGACGTCATTTATGGACGGCTCCTAACGTCGTTTCAATTAATGTCGAGTTTTTCAGGAACGCAAACCCGCCGTTAAGCGAGGAGTGACTGTACACTGCAAACCGGAGGAAACATGCAAAACGGGGGGGGGGGGGGGCAGGGGAGGAACATGCAGCAAACTCCACACAGGAAGGCGCCCGACTCGGGAATCGAACCCAGGCGCCCAGTCGCTGCGTGGCACGTGGGTAACCAACCCCCCCCACTTACCTTTGAGGCTTTCGCCGATGAAGCTCTTGTGCACGTGCATGGACGCGGTGTCGTCCAGCCCGACGTGCGCCTTCACAAGCCAGCCCGCCTCCACGACAAGCACCTCGGGGTCGTCGTACTCCGCGCGCACCCAGTTGAGCACCTCCCTGAGCCCCAGCGACAGCCGCTGGCCGAAACGCGCCTTCGCCTCGACGCCCACGAAGTTGTCCGGCCCGAAGGAGAGCGCGAAGAGGTCGGCCGTGCCGCGCACGGCGCGCCGCTCGCTCTCGTCAAACTCGGGCAGCGTGTGCCACAGGCGCTCCCGGAGCGAGCGCGGGTAGCGCCCGTCGCCGAATATGGGGGAGGCGAACCAGCCCAGCGACGCCTCGACGGAGCGCTGGCAGGCATCCGTGTCGGCCGCGGAGGGCGGCCTGCCGGCCCCCTGTGGCTGGACCCAGTGCGAGCCGAGCGCGATGGTCACCCGGCCGCGCTGTCGGTGGCGGAACCGCGTGTGGTACACGTGCCACGCGCGGGCGTGCGCCTGTTTTCATGTGTGTGCACGTGGTGTGTATGTACGTGTGTATGTACATGGGTAGGTGCGTAACAAAGAGAAGTGAGCGGTAGTGCTGCGGTTAGTGCACTGCGCCACTAAGCCGGCTCGCCAAGTTCAATTCCTGCTCGTGACCATAAACAATAGTGACCAACATTTTAACCAGTCCTGAGCCTCCCCAAAGTCGAGCCAGCCTGAAATGGGTAGCCTGGCTCAGTGTGTAAACTCGGCAGACAAAGGCGGTCGGGCGTGGTGCTGGCCATCCACCCACGAGTGTGCCGTGCCTGCTCTCATAGCTACTTGCTCCGAGCACTTGCTTCAACAATCTGTTAAGGGGCCGTCCATAAATCACGTCACGCGATTTTGGACGATTTTTCACCCCCCCCCCCCCTTGGCCACACGGCGTCACTTAAAGTCAGACCCCCCCCCCCAAAAAAAAATAGAAAACATGCTTCAAATCGCTTTAAACTATTGTCATTGTAGTGCGTATTTAATTTGGCGCTGCACTCTGATGTTGTAGTAGAAAAAAATATTTAAAAGTATATTTAATTAAGTAGAACGTGTTGTCTATATTTATTTAAAGTTGCGCATTTTGATGTGACGTCACATTTCTCACCCCCCCCCCCTCGTCACACATCGTCACAAATGTCTGACCCCCCCCCCCCCCAGGTGCGTGATGTCATTTATGGGCGGCCCCTAAAGGCTATGAAGGGGATCTTTGTATTTGCATGACCATGTCAAACAAAGAACAAGACATGGGGAAAAAATGCACTAGGTATAGTGTGTGGCAATAATGCTGCCCTAAAGCAGAATACAGTAACATATACAACATATAATCACAGCGTCACTGTCAGGCATTGGCCTAGCCCTAATAGGGTTCTTAATACGGCACGTTTCAGGCAGTGGCCCAGGCAACGGCCATGAGCGTGGATATTGACCAAGACATTTTGTACAAAAAAAAGCTGCATTGTGCTCAAAGAAGCGTGGAGTGTTAGCAGTCTGCCGAGAGCGACGGAGCGAGGAACCCGTATGGTTAGTGGTAGACATACAAGGTCGTGACCTCGACTCAACGCGTTTGACTGACAAAGACGTCGATAAGCTCCGTCGGTGGTGAAGAGGACGGCCCTGGTGCCCTCGTGTTGACTTCCCCTGGGGCTGGACTCCTTCCGCCGTACTTAAACTAAACCGGGACACCCTGTTCACTCTCTTTGCCTTCCCTCTTTGCTGTCCTCTGCGATCCTTTCTTCTCCTCTATGTATGGACGGTGTTTGCGGGGGGACATCTTTTTTTCATTTATTTTCCAGTAGCTTTCAATTAAGATTGTACATTAATTAATCATATGCACGCGCGATTCCTAATGTGAGGGACAAATCAATGGATCGATCAAACTTTATTTCTATATACAGTGAGGGAAAAAAAGTATTTGATCCCCTGCTGATTTTGTACGTTTGCCCACTGACAAAGAAATGATCAGTCTATCATTTTAATGGTAGGTTTATTTGAACAGTGAGAGACAGAATAACAACAACAAAATCCAGAAAAACGCATGTCAAAAATTTTATAAATTGATTTGCATTTTAATGAGGGAAATAAGTATTTGACCCCTCTGCAAAACATGACTTAGTACATGGTGGCAAAACCCTTGTTGGCAATCACAGAGGTCAGACGTTTCTTGTAGTTGGTCACCAGGTTTGCACACATCTCAGGAGAGATTTTGTCCCACTCCTCTTTGCAGATCTTCTCCAAGTCATTAAGGTTTCGAGGCTGACGTTTGGCAACTCGAACCTTCAGCTCCCTCCACAGATTTTCTATGGGATTAAGGTCTGGAGACTGGCTAGGCCACTCCAGGACCTTAATGTGCTTCTTCTTGAGCCACTCCTTTGTTGCCTTGGCCGTGTGTTTTGGGTCATTGTCATGCTGGAATACCCATCCACGACCCATTTTCAATGCCCTGGCTGAGGGAAGGAGGTTCTCACCCAAGATTTGACGGTACATGGCCCCATCCATTGTCCCTTTGATGCGGTAAAGTTGTCCTGTCCCCTTAGCAGAAAAACACCCCCAAAGCATAATGTTTCCACCTCCATGTTTGACGGTGGGGATGGTGTTATTGGGGTCATAGGCAGCATTCCTCCTCCTCCAAACACGGCGAGTTGAGTTGATGCCAAAGAGCTCCATTTTGGTCTCATCTGACCACAACACTTTCACCCAGTTGTCCTCTGAATCATTCAGATGTTCATTGGCAAACTTCAGACGGGTATGTATATGTGCTTTCTTGAGTAGGGGGACCTTGCGGGCGCTGCAGGATTTCATTATTTCACGGCGTAGTGTTACCAATTGTTTTCTTGGTGACTATGGTCCCAGCTGCCTTGAGATCATTGACAAGATCCTCCCGTGTAGTTCTGGGCTGATTCCTCACCGTTTTCATGATCATTGCAACTCCACGAGGTGAGATCTTGCACGGAGCCCCAGGCCGAGGGAGATTGACAGTTCTTTTGTGTTTCTTCCATTTGCGAATAATCGCACCAACTGTTGTCACCTTCTCACCAAGCTGCTTGGCAATGGTCTTGTAGCCCATTCCAGCCTTGTGTAGGTCTACAATCTTGTCCCTGACATCCTTGGAGAGCTCTTTGGTCTTGGCCATGGTGGAGAGTTTGGAATCGGATTGATTGATTGCTTCTGTGGACAGGTGTCTTTTATACAGGTAACAAGCTGACATTAGGAGCACTCCCTTTAAGAGTGTGCTCCTAATCTCAGCTCATTACCTGTAAAAAAAGACACCTGGGAGCCAGAAATCTTCATGATTGAGAGGGGGTCAAATACTTATTTCCCTCATTAAAATGCAAATCAATTTATAACATTTTTGACATGCGTTTTTCTGGATTTTTTTGTTGTTATTCTGTCTCTCACTGTTCAAATAATCTTACCATTAAAATTATAGACTGCTCATTTCTTCGTCAGTGGGCAAACGTACAAAATCAGCAGGGGATCAAATGCTTTTTTTCCCTCACTGTAGCACTCTTCGTGCAGAAAAAAATGCAATGCATAGTGCTTTACATGCATGAACAATACAAGTGAAATTGTGGGCAAAATCAAATCACGTTGTAACAAATTTCTAGCCAATACATAATAAAAATAACACATTAATGAAAATTAATAAAAATAACATATTAAGAGTCAACCCCCCCCCCCCCCCTCCAAATACAGAAGTCAAAACTCCACCTATGCCTCTTAAGTCTCACGCTGTATCCTTCGCATCGTTCGTCTCAATTTCCGAGTTCTCGTCAGGGGAGCGCCGCGATTTAATTCGCGAATATCGACCATTCGTCGTCTGCGGGGCCCTGCGGTGTTCTCTTGGCAATAATAAATATTTGCAGGTTTGTCGCTGAAAGGACATTTCTGTTTGACCTCGGCACTAGGCTCATAAAAGCGTTAATGGCTGGCAGCACTCTATACCCAAACCGGCCGGTACAGGCCTTGGGAGCGTTCGCGTGCTGGGAAAAAAAAACTTTGAAACAATCCACCGCAAAGAGCCGCTTCGTACGGGGATCAGACGTCCGTAAAGAATGCGCATAAAACTCGCGCCGCGCCCACTGAACCTCGACGTTACAATTATTATTTTTTTAAATACCGCGTGATGCTTGTGACAAATTTACGAGAGGATTTATTTTGGGCGGAAATGGGAAGCTCAGGGGCTGGGGTTCACGGTTGCAGCGTGTTCACCAACCTCGAGATACAAATTATGAAATACTGTACAGAGTTAGATGAGAGCAGGTTGGGGTGTTAAATAAAACAACAAAATAGTAACTCAACAACGAAAAACATCCATCGTTGCAATGCGCCTATAAATATTAAGTTGCCAACGAGTGCACATTGCGTGCTATGCCACGGATTAGAGTAGGGTGCTCATCACCGCGTCTTTGGCACAATTCTATTCTTGCGCTAGATGACAGTAGCAATGTGTTCTGGAGCTAGATGTCAATGTTAAGGTCTGCTGCTCACGACAAGAGGGCTTCAGCAGAGAGAGAGAGAGTTCGTGTAGTTTTACTGTTCCTCCTCCTCCATTGAAGTAGCACATACTCCAGTGGTTCACTATGTGGTCCATAGTTTGCGTTGCATGGCCATCATGTGACTTGTCTTTAATGTGTCTCTATGTACCTCTATGTGTCTATGTAATTATGTGAGTGTCAATGTGTCTCTGTGTTTCTCTATAGGTTCACTATATGGTCCACAGTTTGGGTTGCATGGCCACAATCGCACGAATGTGGCTTGTCTTTTTTGTATGCAGGAGGCATGTGCATCGGTTTGGCACAATAAGTCAATTGAACGTCTGCAGTGCCTAAATACCATAAGCATCTTGAGATCGGTGATGTTAACGGGGGGATTACTGTAAATGTACTGAAACCTGCGGCATCATAATAATAATAGGGTTATAATAATAGGGGTTTTCCCCTTTTTTCTGGCAACACAACTGAAACCTTTTTACAAGGATTCATGTCTGCATTAACCACAATACCTGCAGTTAAAATGCAAACAAAAAACATACTATGATAATATATGCATTGTCCTTGAAACTGATTGGTCCACACCAAGGGACGGCATTATGGTTTAAATAGTCGATCATTGACTCATAGTCCAAATTCAGTACAAGTTTTCCTTTCGGTGGTGAGACGTTAACTACCTCGCCTGGTATGCAGGAGGTGAGTTCGATCCCGACCCTGACACGTGTATATTTGTCATTTTCGTGGTCGCTTGGATTTTTCTCCGGGTCCTTTTGGTTGTTCCCCCACACTTAGAATCAAAGTATGTTTAGAATATTTAGCTGCTATAAATGTCCACATGTTAAGCCACTTTGTTGAGCTATCATTTGTGGCTTCTGGAAAAGAGCTACATAGCTCAGTGGGTCTTAGCTGGAAAAATAAAAGTAGTTTATTTTATATTTTTAGCTTCATGTGGGGTGTGATTTGTGCGATTTTGCGCTCTACAGTATATGC